TACACTCCAGTCAACTTATTACTCAGCAATTCAAAATGCTGACTCTTAAAATGCTGACTTTACAAAATCTGATGAACATAATACTTCCACTGTGATCTGACCAGTATGGGGGACAATGGGCTATTACTTCCCACAAACAAAACAGAAAACACGAAACTACTTAGCCTTACACTACAGTAGCATTTCTGGCAGCCTCCTCATCCTGCCAATTTTTGATTCATCCTAATATGCAGTTAACTAAAACCCTAAACATGTCATACCATCTTCTAATAAACCTGATTTTCATCTTGGTGAGAGCTATGTGAAAGATGATAAACTAAGAAAAATTACCATACTTTGACTCACAGTGGTTACATGGGTTAAAAATATATCTAACCATACATACTAGAACTCATATCTAACCATACATACTAGCTCTATCACAGCTACCTTTGATTTTAAAAAGTGGCTACAGCAGTTCTCCCTCGTTTTAGGGACTATTACTCAATGCAGAATGATATCTTAATAAGGTCATTAAACTAGTCAGGATGAATTGGTCCAAAGATTAGTACAAGCCCAAAGGCAAACTCAGGCTGAGCATGAGAAAACTCATTCTGTTCCACGTCCACCCAATAAAGTTCCTGTCTACTGAATGGAGCTACACCATCCAAGCAATACTCTCTTGATGAAAGAGTGCATGGGTCATTCATTTCTGGTTTCCCAGTAAACAGGGGCCGGGAGTAACTATGAGGTTTAAGGCTATATGTATAAATCTTCCTTGGGCCCTGACTAACCTGATTGGCTATTTTCAGCCCTTATTTATCTACTTTATCTTCTAATAAAAGCAATGTGTGGGTAAATAAGACCATGCCTTCTCTAAATTCTTTTATACTTAGTCTATGTCATACCTCTCAGCAACTAATTATTGCTGCATAATTAACTCCTAGAGGGAATAGTAGCTCATATTTGTTTGTATTCCTCATAATATCTACCATTATACTAATCAAAAGGGTAAGACAAAATATGATTTTCTACCACAGCTCCAAATTCTAAAAACATGTGTGTGAAAAATATCATCATGACTAATATCATCGGTAAGCACAGCAATCCAAAAGTAGGTCATTACCTCCTACCAAATACGGATTTCATGCTTAAGCCTCTATGTTTCCATGAAGAAGCAAATTCAAAACAGCAAAAACTTCCTTTATACCTTTTTCTTGGGTTTTGGCTCCCTTTGGATGATGAATATAAATTTGAAGTTGAAATAATTCAATAATTACTTCTTTTAAGGAATCATTAAGTCTATGTTGAGTCCAAATATAAAGAAAGGTAGGAAGAATTTCATCTCCTAACTCACACACTTTAATTCGAAAGTTAACAGCCAAAGCCTTGAGGAAGATAACAAATGCTGCTAAGATATGATTGAAACCGGCAGAGGTCTGTTCCTGTCTGTGAAAGAAAATAAACACACTTAACTTGGTTTAACGGGGAGAAAAATACACAAACTGAAGACAGTTATGAAGTTGGATGCTGAAATAAAACAATATCTAATTTTCAAATAATAGTTTCAGAACTATTCACACACACACACACAAATATAGGCAGCACTACATAACAAAAAAAAAGTTCTTCTTTGGTGCTAACTATCACTCCTGTTAGCTCTCTCTGCTTCTGGAACATTGTCTAAAATTACACAAAACTAATTTATAATAGCTACCATTTATAAAATGTTACACATTAATAAGTGGGTAATACGACACAAATATAAGATATTGATATTTCCAAAATATACTATTTTATTTTATTCTTATTCTCAAAAATGGGAAAAACAAAACTACTTAGAGGACATTTAGCTTTCCTGCCATTAGAAAAGCAAGAAAGAGGTCTCACTTAGGAACATCATTTCATGGTCTGCACGCAGGATATTCAGGAAGTGTCGGACCTAACTAGTACTTCCTTTGGGAATCCACTAGTCCTACTATAATGAGCCAAGTTTTAAAAGTTGGTAGAATTTTTCATTACTGAATCAAAAACATGGTTTTCAAGATCAAATGGATTTTCAATAAAATACAAAAAGATTAAATTACCTTGCATTCTGAATAGCCTTAGAAAAACAATCCAAAAATTTGGAATTTAATCCATCAGTTTGTGAACAGCATCCTTTAGTCACAGCATGAATGATTCTAGCCAATAAGACTCTGTTAATGTCTTGTGAAGGATTGAGATATAGCTTGAAGTACACAGAAAACAATTCTTAAAAAAAAAAGTATTAGTTATGCTTTTTAAAAAGAAAAGTATCAAATCATTTAACTTAAATGTCACAATTTAAGTTTCAATAATTCCACACAAAAATAAAGATTTAAATAATACTATTTAAATACAGTGAAAACATTCCATCAATATTTAATTGTATCCTATCTAATAATAGACAAACATGGTAATTGACCATACCTTTGCTACACCTCCCATTGGCTAATCAGTGCAATATGCAAATTAACCGCCAACAAAGATGGTGACTAATTTGCATACTGTAGGCAGGGCGGGTCAGCACCATCCCATTTGCCCCACCGCCTTCCGGGCCTGCTATTTGCCACCCAGGGCAGTGGGGCGGAACGGCACCATCCTGCCTGCCCTGCCAGCTGTCTGCGACCCAGGGTGGCGGGCGTCCCGTGTGCGACCCGACCCAGGGCAGTTGGGCAGGGCAGCAGTGATCGGCCGGCCCACCCAGGTGTCCCGTGTGCAACCCGACCTGGGGTGGCGGGGCGGGACAGTGTGGCTCCTCTGTCACACCAGCGTCCTCATCACAGCTCCCTTGGGGGCCTAAGCCTTTAGTCAGACATCCCCCGAGGGCTCCCTGGCTGCCAGAGGATGTCTGACTGCAAGCTTAGGCCTGATCCCCCGGGGCGTGGGCCTAAGTTGACAGGTGGACATCCCCTAAGGGGTCCTGGACTGCAAATGGGCACAGGCCAGGCTGAGTGACCCCCCCCTCCCAGCGCACAAATTTTTGTGCACTGGGCCTCTAGTTTTATATAAATTCCGTTCAAGACAGGAACAACTTAAGCAGCAGTGAACAGAAACATGTTTGAGAGCCAGACTTCAGATAAGCAACTTAACTTCTCTAACCCTATGTTCCTTCATCTAGGCCTAACAAAGCACTTGACACAGTGCACATTCCAGATTTGTTTTGTTTTATTTTAATGCCGTTGGATTAATAGTAGACAATTTACTTCTCACAGAAATAACAGTAGGGTATGTTCATTTTTGTATAAGTTCCTCAATGTCAAAAGCAAAGTGAAGAGGAACAGATGAAACAGGTATGAACACTGAGCTACGGAGAGAAACCCCAAGCTTATAATAATTAAGGAAATTTGCCCTAGCTGGTTTTGCTCAGTGGTTAGAGTGTCTGCCTGCAGACTGAAGGGTCCCAGGTTCAATTCCAGTCAAGGGCACATGCCTGGGTTGCAGGCTCCATCCCCTGGGGGAGAAGAGAAGGGGCGGGTGCAGAAGGCAGTCAATCAATGATTCTCTCTCATCATTGATGTTTCTGTCTCTCCCTCTCCCTTCCTCTCTGAAAACAATAAAAATATATTTAAAAAAATAAAGTGTAACTCTTTAAAAAATAATAATAATATTAAGCAAACTTGTCTTTGCTCTGCAGGAAGCCATTAATCATCTCTATCAACATCTCTTTCTCCCAAGGCTCACTATACAAACATATCTAAAAAACAACAGTCTGGAAAAAAAGCAACTCTGCCAGGGCTCTAATTATCTCTTTATGGGAAGAACCTGCATTAGCAATTTTGCTTTTCGTTGTGTTGGGAGATAGGTCTCAATGCATCTCACGTTTCTGCACATCTTATGAGGGGATTGAGCCTGAAACCAGGGAACTGAACCATGATCTCCTAGTTCACAGGTCAATGTTCAAACACTGAAACACACCTTTCAGGCAGGGTTTGTTTGTTTTTCTAGTTTTAGATAAAAGCTCAGTTCATTGACTTGAGATCTTTCCTTTTTTTAAAGGATTAATATTTTTGAGATATAACTGTCATATTATATTAATTTCAGGTGTACAATATGATTGGTGTATTCTGCACAATGATTAACACAGTAAGTCTAGTTAATATCCATCACCACAATAGTTACCAAATGTTTTCCTTGTGATGAAAACTTTTAAGATCTACTTTCTTAGAAACAATAAAATTTATAAACTACTGCAATATAAATCTAATAACAATATACAAATTCTATATACCGATAATAACACTGACATCCATAAATCAAAATAGACCTACATAAGTGAAGAAATATATCATGTTCGTGGACTGGAAGAGTCTTCAATATTAAGATGTCTCTTCTTCCTAAAATGTTCAATACATTCCATGCAATCCCTATCAAAACCCCAGCAGGATTTTTTGTAGAAATAAAAAAGGTGATTCCAAAATTTATATGGAAACATTGACTCAGTCCTAGGCCATCTTCTCATCTCGCTCTTAAACTCTCTCCCTTGACAATCTCATCATAACCATAGCTTCAACCACCACTACTGCCAAATATGTATTTTGAATGTAAACTTCACTTCTTGAGCAGAGTCCTCCTTAGAGAAGCAAGTTTCAGAGAAGGGAGCTAATTAGGAAAATAATTCAACAAAAGGGCCAATTATTACAAGTGGTAGTAGTTTGCTTAAAAATGAAAAAGGATTTCAGAGAATATGCCAAATGATGGAAGCATAGTAAAAGAAGGGTTGCCTTCTTTTTTCCCCACTGAGAACTATGGTTACAAATAACAATCTAAAATTCAAATCTGCAAATGTCCTAAATACTTAGGGTGGACCACTTTGCTGAAAGACTTATTGGAGCATGCTAGATATTACTGGCCTATTCTCCAAAGGCTGCCACAAGCTTTGTGGAAGGCTGTGTTTGTGATAAAACTAACCTTGTGGTCAGAACTAGAGCAAAGGATCAGATGATGCCTTAGAAATAAATGCAACAGCTGAGCAGGCTTTTATTCATGTGGGAACAGAAGAGTGTCAGACAGGGCAGGTCAAGATTTTATCGTTCATATATATCTCATTTTGAAATGATAAACTGACAGTAGACAATAAAGACAAATGTCTTTTAATTTAGTTAGCATAATTTATCTTAAGTACTTTTCAATGAAAATACTGAGTTTCTAAATTTTCAGAGGTGATTGTATTGGAAGGCTTTGACATCTGGCTTAAAGTGATCTTGTTAGAGCCAAATTCCTTTTTCATTAAACTATTTAGACTCAGAAATGCTTCCACCTTTGAAATCAATAAACTCAAATGTTTCACTCTCTGACCACAGCGTCTTTCCTTTGTGGCCAGTTAGTACCTTTCACTTAACAAACTGTCAACATACGAGGTTCCTTCCTGGTACCCATGACCCTTTAAGACCCAGAAATGTTCCACATTTTTGAAATTAATAAACTCAAATCTTTCAGTCTCTGACCATAACTTCCTTCCTCTGTGATCTCTCAGTACCTCTCACCTACAAATTGTCAACAACGCTAGATTCCTCCCTGCACTCTACTAATTGTGTAAGTCACACTGGGTCCTACATAACCTATGCTAACACTTTTGATTTCCATTACATTATCAGTGTCCTGCTAATTGCTTAACCCAGTGGATACTTCTATGTCTTGCCATTTCTACAACACTGAAATGTCACACTCCTTTCAACTTGAAACTCTTTTGCTTTCACTTTTATGATATACTCTGTTTCGGTTTTCTTTTTTCTACCTTAATCATGGTTGAGTTTAAGTGTCATTGATATGTGAACTTGCTGCACCCAAATATATCATATTGCATTGTAATTTTGGTTTACTTGTTTTTTTTCTGCCACTGTTCTATCAAGTCCTTGAGGCTAGAAGATGGCATCTTTCAATTATATAATTCCATTTCTGATAGCAGACACCTAATATATTGTCAGTGAGAATAATTTAGGAAGCCCATAAGAAATGCAATCTTAGGGTCAAATTCTGTAGTCATTTAATTTTATTAAAGTAATGTTAAACTTTGAGGTCATTTAGAGATACAGAAAGACTCTAACTACTCTTTTGGGGAAATATCATTTCACAAGGAAAAATTCATTAAGAACAAATTTCAAAACATACCTAGCCACTGTTGCTGAGATATTTCACACCAGTATTTTCTCACTGAAAGAATGTCCTTGAGCAGTATATTGCTACAATCGGCTCTATAAATGGCACCATTAGATGAATCTTTCACTGTTTCCATGATATAATTCAAGAGTTCTTGACATTTTAGCCTGGGTGCTCCTATTTGAAAAATAAAATAAACAAATAAATGAACACATATAAATCTTCAGAAAAAATAATTAAAAACATGTGGAATGGCAACTATATAAATATAAATAATTCCTTAAATTACTATTAATCTCCTTCTCATAGAGCAGAAATTAGCAAACAATGGTCCATGAGCAAAATTCTGCAAGCCACCTGTTTTTGGAAATAAAATAGCAGAGTTGAGTAGTAGAGACAGAGACTATGTAGCCTAACAATCATTCATTCCATCTTTAATAATTCACTATTTCTGGCATTAGACCTGAAATGATCCAAAGTTTCTTGGTACTTTAAAAAGGAGAATTTATTAGAATAACAAGATTATAAGGAGAGTATTTATTTTGAAAAGCAAAATTACTTCCAAGACCTATAACAGTATTTATGGCATATAAATATATAAGATTGTAATTTTTACAGTTTTATTTATGAGGTCCTGAATATTCAGCATTAACGGATATATTCTTTTTTTTTTTAACCCTCACTCAAATATATATTTTTCACTGATGAGAGAGACAGAGAGAAAGGAAGAGGGAGAGAGAGGTAGAGAGAGGGGGAGAGAGGAGAGAGGGAAACAGCAATCTGTTGCCTACCACATGCATCTGCATGTGCCTGGAGAGATCAAAGCGCAACCTAGGTATGTGCCCGTACCAGGACTCAAACCACAACCAGTGCACCGAAGGGTCCACACTCTAACCAACTGAGCCACACCGGCCAGGAAAGAAATTCTTGAAGGTAAGAGTAAATTTAAAAATTAAGGCTTCCGTCATGCTCCTGGTCATCCTACTATGGCTCTGTCACAGGGGCTGCCTGGGCAGTATCAGCTGCAAACTCCTTGAAACCTTGTGCTCACTGGGTTTTGCCACATCAACATAATTGATATGGATACTACTGATGTCAGCAACCTCAATTGGCAGTTCTTATTTCAAAAGATCTTCTAGTTTTGAAGATCAAAGGTCCAGGTTGACAAAGACAGTGTACGGCAGTATTACCTGAAAGCAAGTATCATAGCCCATCATGACGGCAACATGAACCCCAACTATGATGTGGAATATTTTTGACAATTTATATTGGTTATGAATGCTTTAGATAGCAGAGCTGCCTGAGACCATATTAATAGGATGTGCCTGGCACCTGATGTTCCTCTTATTGAGTGTGGAACTGCTGGTCTTGGGCAAGTAACCACTATCAAAAAGGGTGTACCTGAGGGTTATTATTGTCATCCCAAACCAACCCAGAAAACTTTTCCCAGCTGTACAATTCATAACACAACTTCAGAACCTATTCTTTGCATCGTTTGGGCAAAGTAATTTCAACCAGTTGTTTGAAAAACAATTAAGTAGTATATACTGAGAGAGCTGATGCTGAAGCTTCCTGGAAACCAATGGAAGCTGAAGCCAGAGCAGGGCACTGAATGAAGAAGGTGACATTAAACCTATTTCCATAAAGGAAGGAGCTAAATCAACTGGATATAATCCAGTTAAACTTTTCTCTTTTTTTCAATCTTTTTACTGATTTCAGAGAGGAAGGGACAGGGAGATACAGAAACATGAATGATGAGAGAGAATCACTGATTGGCTGCCTCCAGCACCCCTCACCCCAACTGGGGATGGAGCCCATAACCCCACCATGTGCCCTAACGGGGAATCGTACCGTGACCTCCTGGTTCATAGGTCAACGCTCAATTACTGAGCCACATCAGCCGGGCCAGTTAAACTTTTTACCAAGCTTTTAAAGCTGGTATCAGGTATCTTTTGACAAAGCGCAAACTATGTGGAAAAAGGAAATCTCCAGTTCCACTGGACTAGGCTGAAGGACAGAGTCAAAGAAGAGACCAATGTACCAGATTAACAAAATTAATCTGTTAGGTCTAAAAAAACAGCAGGTTCTAGATGTAAAGAGCAATGCACATCTTTTTCAAAGAGCAATGAGACTTTGAGAGTTCATTTAGCAGAAAAAGGGGATAGAGCTGAGCTCATATGGGACAAGGATGACCCACCTGTAATGGATTTTGTCACCTCTGCTGCAAACTTGAGGATGCATATTTTCAGTATGAAGAGCAGATGTGATATAAAATCAATTGAAGGGAGCATTACTCCACTATCGCTACTAATGCAATAATTGCTGGGTTAACAGTATTGGAAGGATTGAAGATTTTATCAGGATAAATAGACCAGCACAGAGCAATGTTGTTTTTTTAATCCTGATCCCAGGATATTTTTTTTATTGATTTTTTAAATAGAGAGGGAGAGGGCGAGAGCGAGAGAGCAATAGAGAGAAAAACAACGATGAGACAGAAAGAGCAATAGGTTGCCTCCCGTACGCACCCCAACCAGGATTAAACCTGCAGCTTGCATGTCTGCTGCCTTGGGTTTATCAATCATATTTACGGTAGGTATACTAAACTATTTCCTTTTATAAAACTCACTTGTAACATATGTGTAGGTTAAGAGATCTCCACTGTTTGCCAAGGATGAGTACTTTCTAAAATAAAGCTTTTAGTGACAATGTTGCTTTTTAATTAAAAAAATTTTGAGCAAATCATATTGATGTCACAACTGAAATTTTATCATATTTCAATGTTAACAATCTTAAATTCACATACAATATTTTTTAAGCTATGAGTGTGCTCCACAAGACATTATGTATATCTGAATATATTCCAGTTTTGAATTTTGTTATGAGATTAGTTATATTCAGAAGTATTAGACTAAGCTAAATTAATATACAGTGATATAACTAGAAAATAATTTTTATGTAAGGTTTGCTTCATAATTTTAGGCTCGTAGCCAAAAATCACATGCACAATCATATGCTCCTTTGTTGTAATATCCTGTGCATCGCTCTCTTAGAGTCCTTATAACATTTTCTTATCTGTAACATGTTATGATTACATCCTTATGGAAAGTAATTGATCTCTACACAGAGTGTCCAAATTATTATGACCACCTGACGTTTGTAGGCAAATTAGCCATACACTGCATCGTATGGGATATGGAAGCTGAAAGCCTCTTCGAACACCTTTGCTGTCTGCAGTTACCAAGATAAAACGCCTCCAATTCACACAGGAACACAAGGATTGGATAGTAGAGCACTGGAAAAAAGTCATGTGGTCCGATGAATCATGTTCCAGTTGCATCATGCAGATGGCAGAGTGAGAATTTGGTGGAAACAGCGTGAAAGCATGCACCCCACATGCATGAGCACAACCCTTTAAGCTGGTGGGGGCAGTGTTGTGGTTTGGGGCATGTTTTCCTGATGTGATTTGGGCCCTTTAATTCATGTGGAACAACGTCTGAATAGCACAACATACCTAAGTATTGTTGCTGATCAAATTCATTCTATCATGTTGATGGTGTATCCCAATGGAGATGGCTTCTTCCAACAAGACAATGCGCCTTGCCACGGTGCTCGTATTGTGCAGGAGTGGTTTCAAGAACATGAGGGAGATTTACCTTGCTTAGCTGGCCCCCACAATCACCAGATCTCAATCCACTTGAGCATTTCTGGGATGAAGTTAAAAGAGCCATCAGGCAGCTGGTTCCACAACCATCAAATCTCACAGAACTGGACAGTGCTATTCATCAGGCATGCTGTCAGGGTCCTCGCATCACCTTTCAACATCTCGTGGAGTCAATGCCAAGAAGAATCGCCGCAGTATTGAAGGCACAAGGTGGCCCAATGAAGTATTGATGGGGTGATCATAATAATCTGGCCACTCACATTCAAATATATCCCACGCTCAAAGGCTATTAAATCGCGTTGTTTACCCATATCTTCAGAAAAAAATCACTCTTACTGTTGTGGTAAACAACCTGCTTCCCTATTTATAATCGTCTGGCCCTCTAGCAACTTCAGCACGAAATTATAGTTAATTTGCCTACAAATGTCAGGTGGTCATAATAATCTGGCCACTCAGTGTATATCCCAACATATAGCCCAGTGACTGTCCAACAGTAGAAGTTAATAAACATTTGTTAAATCCTATATAATAAAAGGGTAATATGCAAAGCAACCAAAAGGTGGAACAACCTGTCGTTATGAAGCTCACTGACCACCAGGGGGCAGATGATCAACACAGGAGCTGCCCCCTGGGGATCAGTGTACTCCCACAGGGAGAGCCCTACTCAACCACAAGCCGGGATGAATGCTGGTGAGCGCAGCAGCATTGGCGGGAGCCTCTCTTGCACAGCAGCGCTAAGGATGTCCAACTGCAGCTTCGGCCTGCAGGAAGCAGGCCTAAGCCATCAATCGGACATCCCCCAAGATCTCCCAGACTGCTAAAGGGCACAGGCTGTGCTGAGGAATTTTCCCCCTACCCGAGTGCGCGAATGTTGTGCACTGGACTCTAGTAACTATGTAAATTAGTATCAGAATGAAGTCATAATTCCCTATGGCTTTAATCCCAATGTATTTCCTTTCTCTATAAAATTTGACAAGTGTTTCAAAAATTAAGCTGACAGCCCTACCTGGTTTGGCTCAGTGGATAGAGCAGCAGATAGATCATTTGCCTGCAGACTGAAGGGTCCTGGGTTTGATTCTGGTCAAGGGCACATGACTGGGTTGGGGGATTGATCCCCAGTAGGGAGCATGAAGGAGGCAGCCAATCAATGATTCTCTCTTATCATTGATGTTTTTAACTCTCTCTCCTTCTCCCTTCCTCTCTGAAATCAAAAAACACACACATATATATAGATATAGACAGATAGATAAATATCTCCTAGCTAATAAAAAACATGGTAATTAGCCGTACGTCTGCTACCCTTCCCATTGGCTAATCAGGGCGATATGCAAATTAACTGCCAGCCAAGATGGCGGCCGGCAGCCAGGCTACTGACACGAACAGGAGGCTTGCTTGCTTCAGTGACAGAGGACTCCAACATCCCCCGCCTGCCGCTGCTGGGCTCTGAGCTGCTAAGAAACAATGTTACAAATATAGAAGCTAAACAAAACCCCAGAAACCTGTTTTCAGTCAGCCGGGATCTCAGAGCTGGAGTCGCAACAAAGTTTCAAATACAGAAAGTAAACAAAGCCAGATACCTGCTTTCAGCAGCGAGGTCTCACAGCTAAAGCCGGCTCTCAGCTACAGTGACAGCCATAAATCCAAGAATTAAAAAAAAAAGGAAAAAAGGAGCGGTTGGGAGCTTCAGTCCCCCGCCAGCCTGAAAACGGCCCTCAGCCCCTCACCCAGACTGGCCAGGAATCCCAGTGGGGACCCCCCACCCTGAAGGGGGTGTGACCAGCTGCAAACAGCCATCATCACCTCATCCAGGCTGGCCAGGCACCCCAGTTGGGACACCCCCCCTGATCCAGGACACCCTTCAGGGCAAACCAGCCGGCCCCCTCTGGTGCACCAGGCCTCTATCCTATATAGTAAAAGGGTAATATGCCTCCCAGCACTGGGATCAGCGGAGCCGCGAGGCCTCCTGGCCCCTGGAGCAGCGTGACAGGGGGCAGCGCCCAAACCCCCTGATCGCCCTGTGACTCTGTGTGTGACAGGGTGCCGCCCCCAAACCCCCCCATGGGCCCTGCTCTGTATGTGACAGGGTAGAGCCGCAACCTCCCCATCGGCCCTGCCCTGAGTGTGAGGGGGGAAGTGCCCCAACCCCCAGATCGGTCCTGCTCTGTGGATGACGGGGCGGCGCACCAACCTCCCCATCAACGATGCCTTGAGTGTGACAGGAGGCGGCGCCCCAACCCCCCAATTGGCCCTACCCTGAGTGTGACTGAGGGTGGCATCACAACCTCCTGATCGGCCCTGCTCCGTGCATGACAGGGGGTAGCTCCCCAACCCCCTGATCGGCCCTGCTCTGTGCATGACAGGGGGTGGCACCCCAACTCCCCAATTGGCCCTGCACTGAGCCCAACCAGGGGCTGCAGGGCAGGCACCTAGGGATTGGGTTTGCCCTCTGCCACCTGGGAGTGGGCCTAGGCCAGCAGGTCGTTATCTCCCGAGGGGTCCCAGACTGTGAGAGGGCACAAGTGGGGCTGAGGGACACGCCCTCCCTCCCCGCCCCGGCCAGTGCACAAGTTTTTGTGCACCGGGCCTCTAGTGTGTGTGTGTGTGTGTGTGTACACATATACATACACACACACACATACATACATACATATGTATTTTGCTGACTTTCTTTTTGAATGAACCTACCTCAAAAGGACGCCTAAGCTGGCTGCATAGGCTTTTCAAGGAACCTCATGGAACTTAACATTTTTCACAGTGGGATTTTCTAGTCTCTAGAACAGCCGTGGGCAAACTACGGCCCGCAGGCCAGATCCAGCTCGTTTGAAATGAATAAAACTAAAAAAAAAAAAAGACCATACCCTTTTATGTAATGATGTTTACTTGGAATTTATATTAGTTCACACAAACACTCCATCCATGCTTTTGTTCCGGCCCTCCGGTCCAGTTTAAGAACCCATTGTGGCCCTCGAGTCAAAAAGTTTGCCCACCCCTGCTCTAGAATGTCTATACTTTGTACAGAAGTTGAAAAATGCCTACATCGAGGAATGAACAATATTTGCTTACTGGTTACTTCCCAGCTGCCTCTCTGATTATTTCACTGTACCTTGTATACCAATGCCAAGAAGAGTCTGGCAAAGTCCGGACCTGTGTTTAAATTCCCATCAACCCTCCCAACATTTGAAAAAACAAAGAAGTGAGATGACATGATAATAATGCCCTGGTTCTTGCTTCAAGATTAAAGATGTTCAAGTTACAAAGTCACACCTGCAGGAAAAGAAAACCTTAAATAAAAACACCACTTTTCAACCAACTGAGCCATATTCTGATTCTTAAACTAAACTTGGTATCATAAAACTGTCCTTATCTATGAAGAGTAAACAAAGTCTGACCCCAAGAGTCCCTAAACAAACACTGATTCTAGTTTTTCATGATTGTATAAAGCTCCTTTCCTTACATAAGTCTACTAGGACCCTGCATTTTGGTTCAAAAATATCAACTATTCAGAGTATCAACTGTACAAGCTCAATGGGAGAGATGTGGCTCATCAGCAGAAACAAAATTTGGGTTTTTTTTTTAATCAATAGTAAACACACTGTTAGATAAAAGTGTGGGTTTTGCTCCGCTGGCGTGGCTCAATGATAGAACGTTGACCTATGAACTAGAAGGTCACAGTTCAATTCCTGGTCAGGACACATGCTTGAGTTGTGGGCTCAATCCCCAATAGGGGGCGCTGATCAGTGATTCTCTCCCATCATCAATGTTTCACCCTTCCGCTCTCAAATCAATATAAAATCTTTCCCTCTCTGAAAACAATAAAAATATGTACATTTTTTAAGAGAGTATGAATTTTTATTACCAAGAAAACAATGTGATCTTAGCATTAGTAAAAGTATACACCAAAGGATGTCAAGTCCTGCTCTACTCTGTACCAATTAGAGCATACCTATAACATTGAGTCCCACACTTTAAGAGAAGTAGGATTAAACTGAAGAATATTCAGAAGAAAGTGATATTCATATGCACTGAAGGAAGTAGGTCTGTTTAGCACAGAAAAGAAGACTTAGGGGAAATATCTAGGCTAACTTCAAATATCTTAAAGAAGCAATCCAAGAAGAATAGCTGTTGAAATAACTTTTAATCCTTTTAACCCTGAGATGATGAAATCATTTCATGTTTACATAAATTCCTCCAAATATTTGAAACTATAATATTAAAAATCATTATATGTGCTAGAAATTAGAGTTATCACTCAACGTTTATCTCACCATATTCACACCAAACTCATGCAACAATCGCCTATGAAGCCAATTATTTATAATAAATAACATAGCACTTACTTTTATTTGCACATTTGATGAAATATTTAACCAAGCTACTGATTTCTTGCATTTTTTTCTGCCTTGTGGCTTGTGTTGATGCAGAAACATTTGGTCTTGCTGTTTTCAGACATTCTGTTTCTTTCTGAATATATTTCTGTAAAAATCTTCAGAAAAAAAATGGAATTTCAGAAACTCATTAAATACTTAAATTATTATAATAGCTTCAAAAAGTTCTTCATGCCATCATAAAGAACATCTTATAAATCATAGTTTCAATCAATGTACCAAATGATATAAATTTCTTTTTCAATGCCTTAGCCCCAGAATACCAATTTAGAATCTGGTCTGCTCTTAATCTCTAACCTCCATGATTTTCTATTGTTTTTTTTATTGCCTGCTTTCTTATTTTATCACTAGTGGCCCAGTGCACAGATTTTTGCACATTGAAAGGAAATTAATTAGAAGAAATATTTTAATATCGCTATTCATCCTTTCTCTGTAATAGAAATGTCAACCAAATTCATGATCAACAATGACAGACTGAAACACATGCGTGTAAGTGGCACTAGTGAGAGCTTTATATATCTCACACATGTGCAAGTCAACTTAGCCTTTTATATGTATAGAATAAACTTGCTTAATTAGACCTGCTTTCTCATGTAGCTAAACTTTTTCCAGCCCAGTGAAGCACTCCAACATCTCTTTCAAATAATGGTCAGCAACACAGCATTAAACATCAACACAAAGCAGAGTATTATTGTAGATCACGCAGGGAGAACAAAGGGTAAAATATTTAACTGCAGCAGAACTTAATAATTGAAAATTGTCTTAATGCATTAATTCTCTTTGAAATCCAGCAACCAATTATAGCTTTCCAATTATATGCCTGAATTTTATTTAACTGCATTCATATATAATTATCCTAAAATTCCTTTCACTTTTCTATTATAATTTAACATCTGGCAGTTTCTTAAAGTAATATTTAAAGGTGTCAAAGTAATAATAATGCACTTGTCATAACTCGACCTTATTCTCTAATTTAAAATAGTCTTATGAACTAACTGATATGAAAGGAATTCTCTCTAATCTAGAATGAGATATGCATAAGACATTTTACTGAAAAAATGATTTAAAATTAATTGTCTCTATATAAACATCTATTAAAAATTATGTTTCAGCCCTGGCTGGTTCGGCTCAGTGGATAGAGTGTCAGCCTGCAGACAGAAAGGTCCCAAGTTTTATTCTGGTCAAGGGCACATGCCCGGGTTGTGGGCTCGATCCCCAGTAGGGGGCATGCAGGAGGCAGGAATCAATGATTCTTTTTCTCCCTCTCCCTTCTTCTCTGAAATCAATAATAATATATAATTTTTAAAATTATGTTTTAAATAAGTATTAAGTGCCAACTTCATATGCAAGGCACAATGTTATACAGGAGACAAAGAGAAATAAAATCTAAATATAGACCCCAAAAAATCACAACAGAAATAAAAATAAAAAACAAATACAGTAAAAATATTAGAGCTTGGCTGGCATGGCTCAGTGGTTGAGCACTGACCTATGAACCAGGAGGTCACAGTTCAATTCCCGGTCAGAGCACATGCCCAGGTTGCAGGCTCGATCTTCAGTAGGGGGCATGCAGGAGGCAGCCGATCAATGATTCTCTCTCATCATTGATGTTTCTATCTCTCTCTCCCTATCCCTTCCTCTCTGAAATAAATAAAAATACATTTTTTAAAATTAGAATAAAATACCTAAAAACAGCATCCCAATTCAAATATTTTCCTTGTTTGGAATCTGAATGTCGATCTAAATGTTGAACAGTTTCAGGATCCCGAATCAGTTGCTTAAATTTCTCAACTTCTTTCTGAAAATGAAAAAACAAGCACAATAATGGGTTACCAATCACATACTTGTTTCAAGCAAAGACTAAATTTAAGTAATTTACTACCCTTCGTTCCGTAGCTCTATCATGTTCTAGTTGACGGCAGCAAATAAGCAGATCATTAAGTGCTAGACTCATGGTTCAGGATTTCAGAAAACACATCACTGTAAAAACAATAAATACATAAAATTATTTCAGACTGGGGCATTAATATACAGTTAGAGCTACAACTAGTGACATACTGTGATCAAGGGCAGGATGGTTTTTCTTAACATTTCCATACTTAAATGAGGTTTTCTTAGTATATACCACAACAAAGCTTCAACATGCAATGTGTACTTTGTGTGCAGTAGCAAGATAAAAATATGAAAGTTATAATTTATTTTTCTGAGACCTCTTCTAAGAAACACGACATTTAAACTGAAACACAGCCCTAACCGGTTTGGCTCAGGGGATGGAGCGTTGGCCTGCGGACTGAAAGGTCCCAGGTTCGATTCCAGTCAAGGGCATGTACCTTGGTTTCAGGCACATCCCCAGTAGGAGGTGGGCAGGAGGCAGCTGATCGATGTTTCTCTCTCACTGATGTTTCTACCTCTCTATCCCTCTCCCTTCCTCTCTGTAAAAAGTCAAATAATATTTTTTAAAAAAAGTTAGCAGTGGTACTAGAAACATTAGGTAAAAGGTACTTGGGGAATAATATATTTGTATGGTGCCACACAGTAAGAGCCCACAGATTAATTATTACAAAGGGGAAAGTGCCTGTTCAGTAGAGAGATGTGGTGGCTACCACTTCAACCAAGAGCTTAAGCTTAGCATAGAGATTGTGGACAATTTAACACCTAACGTGGAACAATATGATGTACGCAACCTAGAAATTATTCTCATCAAAACGTTTAAGT